GGGTACTCGACGTGGGCTGTCATCAGCAGCGAGACGCCCGCGTCGATCGCCGCTTGGAACGGAACGAGTTCTCGCTGACGCAGCTCTTCGGCCGAGGCTTCGACGCGCGGCGTGGCGTCGTGCGAGTCTTGGTGCGTGTCGCCGTGGCCGGGGAAGTGCTTGGCGGTGGTCATCAGGCCCTCCGTTTCGCAGGCCCGGACATAAGCGGCGACAAGCTCCGCCGCGCGCTGCGGGTCTCTGCCGAACGCGCGGGTCGCGATGATCGGGTTCCGCGGGTCGCTGTTCACGTCGGCGACGGGACCGAACGTCACGTCGATGCCCGCGGCATGGGCTTCGCTCGCCGTCGTGCGGCAGAAGTCGCCGATCGCGTCGTCTGAGTCTTCGAGATCGACGAACGCGCGTTGATGGGGAAAGAGCGTCAGCCCCGCCACCTGCTGCCCGGCGCCGCGCTCGATGTCGCTGGCGACGAGCAGGCGATGCCGACACTGCGACTGCAAACGCTGGAGCGTTTCGCGCGTTTCGGGCCAAGAGCCATTGAAGAGCAGCAGCCCACCAACGGGGCAGTCGCCGAGCAGCTGAACCACCCGCCCTTCGTCCTCATGAACACGGAGGATCGGCGGCAGGTTCGAGCCGATGCGCACCATCAGCAATTGAGCGAGGCGCTCGCGCAGATCGGTCGGCTCGTCGGTTGGCTTGGGGGTTGAACTCACAGTCATGTTGCAGAGGCTTCCTGCGGTTCTTCACGGAGCGGTGCGAGCAACGTAATGATCAAACTCGGGACGATCGCCGCCAACACCCAGAGGAAGAATTTCTCGTAGCCGAGCCACTCTTGCAGGGCGCCGGAGTACTTCATTGGGATCATCATCCCGAGGGCCATGAACCCCGTGCAAAGGGCGTAATGGGCGGTCTGGTGCTCGCCGCGAGACAGTTGCAGCATGTAGAGCATGTAGCCGGCGAAACCAAAGCCGTAGCCAAATTGCTCGATGCCGATAGCGGTTGCGATCGGCCAAATCGATTCGGGTTGCGTGAACGCCAGCCACGCGTAAGCGGCGTTCGGGAGGTTGATCGCCAGCGCCATGGGGAAGAACCACCGCCGCAGGCCGTCGCGGGCGACGATGATGCCGCCGACAATTCCACCCAGCGTCAGTAACGTCACGCCGATGGTGCCGTCCAAGAGACCGAGTTGTTCGTTCGAAAGCCCCAGGCCTCCCTTGTCCCGCGGATCGAGCAGGAAGAGGGGCTTCATCTTCACCAGCTGTGCTTCGCTGAATCGGTAGATCAACAGGTAGGCGAGCGCCAGGCCGATTCCCGGCTTTTGAAAGAAGGTGCTGAATGTCCTGCCAAACTCGACGAGGACGTCTCGGGCGGTCCGTGACTCGACCGCACGTCGAACGGCAGGGTGGGGTAGGGCAAAGGCGTGATACGCCGCGAAGGCGACGAACAAGACGCCGATGCCGCTAAAGACCGCCGACCACGATTCGCTGATCGAAAAGCCAGCCGCCTTATTGAGCACCCCCGCCAACGCCACCAGCGCGCCCGAACCGACGATCATTGAAAGCCGATAAAACGAGCTCCGGATGCCCACGAACCAAGCCTGATCACGCTCGGGCATGCTCGCCATGTAGAAGCCATCGGCGGCGATGTCGTGCGTCGCCGATGCGATCGCCAACAGCCAGAAGCCGCTCATCGTGAGCATCAAGAAGTTTTCTGTTGGCGCCGCCATCCCGACCGCAAACAGCCCCGCTGCGATCACGGCTTGCATCGCCACCACCCACCGGCGCTGGGTGCTCAGCACATCGACGAGCGGACTCCAGAGCGGCTTGACCACCCACGGCCACATCAACAGGGCCGTGTAATCGGTGTTGACCGAATTGGCGACGCCCAGGTTCTGGTACATCACTGTCGCCAGCGTCATCACGGCGACGTAGGGCAGCCCCGACGCAAAATAGAGCGTCGGAATCCAACTCCACGCCGCAAGGCGAGTCGAAGGGGCGGGCTTATCGCTGGCGTGATTCAAAAGAGTCCACCGCGGAGTACGCGGAGGGCGCGAAGGATACGTCGCAATTCTTGGCGACCTCCGCGCTCCCCGCGGTGAATTAATCGATGGCTACAACCGTCGGCTCGCCGAGGCGACCGTACTCGTCCACCGCCGAGACCGCGATCGCGTCGGCGGCCACGCCGTCGGCGTTGGGGCGGACGCGGATCGTTTCGATCTGCCCGCCGAAGACGCCGGTCGTCCATTTATCGCCGCAACGCTTCTGCAGCACCCAGCGCGACGGCTTGGCGTCGCCTTCGAGCGAGAACGCAAACTGCGGCGTCCCCTCTCCCTCGACGCGCTCAACACTCGGCGCCGCGGGCCTTTCCTTGTCGCCAGCCAGCCAATCCGAGTCGGGCGGCAACGCGCCGTCGGCGTAGACGGTCTCCTTGAGCTTGTCGTTGATGCCCAGCCAGTTCTTCACCAAGGCCTTCATGCTGAAGTGGATGTGGCCCGCCTCGTCGCCCGATTGTTCGCGGGTGGCGAGAATCTGATCAACGATCTCCTGCGCCGGGTACTTCGGGGCGTCGCCGCCGAGCCGAGACGTGTAGAGCCCCGGCCAGAGGTTGCGGTTGTGGGTGTTCTCACTCGCCCACCAAGCGAGTAGCGCCGTGAAGCTCTGCGGCTTCTGGTCGATCGCCCAGTAGAGCTGCGGCGAGAGGTAATCGACCCAGCCCTCGTTGAGCCACAGCTTGGCGTCGGCGTAGAGCTTGGCGTACTGGTCGAAGCCCTGTATGCCCTCGGGGTGGCCGGGGCGCCAGATGCCGAAGGGGCTCACGCCGAGCCGGACGTGGGGCTTCACCTTGTGGATCTCGACGCCGAGGTCCCGGATGAACCGGTTGACGTTGTCGCGACGCCAATCGTCGCGCGTCATCCGCTCGTCTTCGGGCGTCTCGTCGCAGTAGACCTTCCAGCTGGCGTCGTCGGGGAAGGGGACCTCGACCTGCTTCTTCTCGCCCGTCCCGTCTTCGAGGGCGTCGCTGATCGGGTAGGGGTAGAAGTAATCGTCGAAGTGGACGGCGTCGACGTCGTAACGACGCACCACGTCGAGCATCACATCCATCGAGTGCTCGGACGCTTCCTTCGCGCCCGGGTCGAGCCAGCGGTAGACGCCGTACTGCGGAGCGAGCTCGGGCCGGCGGACGGCGATGTGCGAAGTGTCCAGCGGACCTTTGTCCGCCGGGTGGGTCGCCCGGTAAGGGTTGAACCAGGCGTGCAACTCGAGGCCGCGGGCGTGGGCTTGCTCGCAGGCCCACGTGAGCGGGTCGAAGCCGTCGGCGGGCGCTTGGCCCTGCTTGCCGGTGAGGAAAGCGCTCCAGGGCTCGAGCTCCGACGCGTACAGCGCGTCGCACGCCGGTCGGACCTGCAGCACCACGGCGTTGAGCTTCAGCTTCACGCACAGGTCGAGGATGCCGGTCAGTTCGGCCTTGAGCTCGTCGTTCGAGAGCCCCGGCTTGCTCGGCCAGTCGATATTGGCGACGGTCGCGACCCAGACGGCGCGGAACTCCCGCGGCACGGGCGGCGGCGTGATCGCCGCGTCGTCCTGACCGTGACTGAGCGTCGGCGCCAGGATGGCGGCGATGAAGAGGAGGGTGCGAGTCGCGGCGAGCAGTTGGCGAAACGTCATATGCGCATCGTCTGGAGGGATCACGAGCAGAAACGAACAGCGTAGCTGATCGCCTGCCGCCGCGGGAGAATCCGGCGCAGTTCCGTCTCGCTAACGCGCACCTTTGCAGTAAGGTCTCGCCTGATTGAACGCGCGTCTGCGGATTACGCCTCCGCAGTTCAACACAGTGGCCCACCCGAGCCGATGGGCTTAACGAGCCGATGGGTCCGTCCGGCAATTCGGTTGTCGACACACAGTCGTCCAACGGACTCACCGCCAGTCTTGGGCCGCAGTTCATCGGCGGATCGACTGACTAGGAACGACTGGCCGGCGTCGGCCTACGGTCTCGGCCGTGCGATGCCAACTCTCTAGGCGTCGCGTGCTTGCGCTAGTGGCATCCCCCCAGGGTGGTGGCAAGGGTCGGCTAGTCTCCGGCGTTTTTTTTCCTGCATTAAGTCGCTTCATTTCAGCGACTTAGAGGTTTCGAGCTGGCCATCCAT